ATCTGTCAGAGTATCTAAATTTAAAATATTGACAATAACAAGCACTGGAGAGGATGAGGAGCAAAACCAGAAAACTAGAACTCTCACACATTGCTGGCTACTGAGTGGTACAAAGTGAACTTTGTAAAAGGGAACTTTTCGGTGCAGGGGTGAAAATGTTCTGTATTTTGTTCTGGGTAGTAGTTACACACAAATGTACACATAAATAAAAATTCATCAGGCTATACACTTAAAATCTGTGTATTTTACAGTAAGTAAATTATATCTTAAAACTATAATTAATTTAAAAATTTTCATAGCTTCTTAGATACTATTACATGTAGTTTAATCATTTTCGTGGCTGTACAATATTCTACTGTTAGACTACACCACAATTTATTTATTCTCTAGTCAAAGGGCATTTGGGTTAACTCTGGGTTTTTGCTCCTGTATATACTTCTACAAACATTATCGTGTATGTCTCCAAGTATATATTCATTTGCAAGAGTTCTCTTGGGTATATTCTTAGAAGGAAATTTCTTGCTTATAGAGTATGTGAATGATTAATTTAATAGATAATGTCAGACCCTTTTTCCAAAGTAGTTGTACTGATCAATACTTTCACCAGCAGTGATTAAAAGATACTCTTTATCTGCATCTTTTCCAACACCTGGTATTGTCAGACTTCTTACTTATTGGTTCTCACTGAGGTCTTAATTTTTATTTCCCTGATCACTAATGCAACTGACTATCTTGTTACACATTCATCAGCCAAATGTGGGTCCTCTTTTGTAAAAACAAATGCCTGGTCCTGTCTCTTGACCATTTCCTACTAGGTTGTTTGTCCTCTCTGTATTGATTCATAAGAATTATTGTGATTTCTTGGTATTAATCCTTTGCTGATTATTTGGGTTACAAAAGCCTTCTCCTAGTTTATAACCTATCAATTTTCCCTAAGGTATTGTTTTATGAACAGAAGTTCTGAAGATTAATATATGTCAAGTTTATCCATCATTTCTTTCATGTTAGTGCCTTTGGTGTCTTGCTTATAAAATCCTTTTCTTCACACTCCAAGGCCCAAAAGATTTTAACCTATATTTTTCACTAAAAGTTAAATATAAATTTTTAATATTTAAGTCTGTCGTTCATTTGCAGTTGACTTTTCTCTGTGGTGTGAGATTGGAACCCAATTTCTTTTTTTTCATATGGAAAACCATTTATTTCAGCTCCATTTATTGAATAGTCTCCCATTTTCCCTCTGATCTGCCATTCTACACTGTCATAAAAGTTCCAGATATGCATGGATATGCTTCTGCACCCTCTGCTTTAGTCTACTGGTCAATTACTGCACCATTATCACACTGCGCTATCTAATATAGCTTCACAAGTCTTAGTATCTGATAGAGCAGAACATTCAGAAATGTCTCGGCTATTTTTGACTCTACACTTCCATACAAATTTTAGGGTCAACAAAGCTTGTGGAATTTTTATTGGATTTGCGTTGCATTGTATGAGGAAATTAATTTTTATGATATTAAATCTCCTGACCTATGATTATGGTTTATCTTTACCCTTAAGTTTTTTTCAGTGCTCCTGATTTCACACTTGCTTACCTTGGTACCTCTCTGGTCATTTGGCGATTTCTTATGTCATTTATCATTTTCTTCCCTGCATTGTATCTTATACATAACTTGTTTCCCTTACTACAACGTAAGTTCCTTGTGTCAGAGATTAGGTCCTATATGTATTTATATTTTATTACCTAGCACGGGGCCTGGTGCATAGTAGGCACCAAAAAAAAAAAATCTGTTAAAGGAATGACTGAATAATACCAAATGAGCTCGAATCTAGAAACTGCTTTTTGACAAGCTATAGAAGAAAAATGTTTCCTTAATTTCCAGCAGGATTCTTAAATACAAGTAGGTATTAAAAATAATGGCGAAGCTTGTTAAAAATGCAAGTTCTTGGTCTTAGTTGTTACCAGGGGACTTGAAAGAATACCAAGGGGCAATTGTAACTATCAAATAAGAAGGGATAAACTCCTGAAGCACTGCTGAGAATAAAGAGGGCAAAAAGGAAGAAAAAGATAAAGAGGATAACAGGCACACTCCTGCCAATGGGAGTCACCATCAAACTCTCCCTTTGTAGGGAAGTCACTTATTGGCTGTTTCTCCCCGCATCTGATCTTTGACTTTTGAAATCAAGATGGCCCTATCTGTTTATATTAAGATCCATTCACTTAAGTGTACATAGAGAAACAATGACTATTTTTCTTAGAATACTTTTCAGATAGGTACCATATTTCAAAATGGACCATATATAGGCTAAACCATAGAAACTCTGTATCCAATAAAGCTCTTTGAAAAACCTGTGACCATGTGTTAGGTATTGGAAGACAAGCTCTGGTTATACAGCAGTAAGGCACTAAGAAAACTAATGTGTTCTCTTCAGACTTTCTCAAACAGAGGACATGCATTATAGGAAGTAAGACTTCAAGCAGTTAAGAAGAAAAGAGTTTTTGCCTTTCAGAAGTTTACAAAATGCCAGTATTCTAAACTTCATACACTGAACTCCTTAGGGTAGTCCGATATAGTACACGCTATCTGTCACTTCTCTATCCATTTGGCAAAGACTACATAGAGACAAATGTTACAGAGGCTCAAAAATGGAGACTTCTGGAAAAATGACCAAAGCCAGAAATAAAGTTGTACTAATTAGAAAACAAATAATTAAATGGCCAAACCCGAATGTTGTGTGATGCTGAAAAGAGATAGATTTCTAAGGCACACCATCTGTTTTACAGTTTTTTATTTTGCTGTACTACAAATCTTCTCAGTAGTTTTGCAATGATCTAGCTGCTAACTTACTTGCACAATTACTTTAGGCCAGAAATACTTATTGCACAGAATCATTTGAGAGTTCAACACATTCACAGAAGAGGGCAAATATAACCCATTTTTATGTGAAGACGATTTTTTTAGCCCTTAAAGAAAAAAAATATTCAAAAACAATGATTAAAAATCAACAAAGGAAAATCAGAGAATTTTTTAAAAGAGTGATATCACTATAAATTGATGGTATCTAAACGTATCTGGGTCTTCAGGATCACCATGGACCTCTCTGTGGGCCATTCTAATGAAAACTTCTCATTCTCATCTTGACCCCTTGGCAGCATTTACCTGGGAGCCTACTGCACTTGCTTTCTCACTTAACTTCCCTGGCACCACCCTGCTAATTTTCCTCCTTCCTCATCAGCTGTTCCTTTCCAGCCTCCATTGCTAGCTTCTCCTCTTCTAAACGTTTAGTGTCTAAAGGCGAGGTGCTGAGGCTTGCCTTTCCTATCTGTACTTTCTTCCTAAGTTATCTCTTCAGCCCGATGGCTTTACATGGCATCTATATACTCATGATTTACAAATTTATGTCTCCAGTTCGTACCTCTCCGGTTCCAGGCTCATACAGTCAATGATCTATTTGATATCTCCATCTGGCTGTCACATAGGCATCTCAAATTTAGCATGTCTAATATGGAACCCTTGATTCACCACTCTTCCCCCTGGGGCGGGGGGGAACTGCTTCTCCTACAGTCTTCCACATCTCAGTAAATGGCACCACCATCCAACCAGTTATTAAAGTAACATCTAAAAATCATCCTTGACTCATCCCTTATCTAATCCACCACCAAGTCTTATCAAATACACCTAAAAAGTATATCACATTTATTTCCATTCAACTCTCTTGCTGCCACCCTGTCCAAGCCACCATCATCTCTCAACAATATTACTGCAATATAAGCACATCATGTATCTCTGGTACCTAACACACAGCATCTAGCAAGTAATAGATGTAAAATAATAATTTTTTCATAGATAAATGTTGCTTAGCAATATTCCTATGTCTCTTGACATCTCCAATTTCAATTCTCAGATATTTTCTGAGATACCTACAGACTTACTCATTTCCTGAATCATTTATTCATTCAGCAATTATTTACTAAGTATTATATTAATTGGTACTAGGTTCAACTGCATATTTTACAGTGTCTCAAAGAAGACAGATGTTTGTTTCCTGCTCATATAAAAATGTCTGGAGGTAGGCAGTCAAGGGCTGCCACGGCCCTTGTTACACTAACAGCCCAGGTTCCTTGCATCTTGTTGCTCTGTCGTCCTGTTTATAAACTCCACTTTGTGATCTAATATGGCTACTCAAACTCCACCCATCACAGCTGCATTCTAGGCACCTGGAAGAAGATGGATATGAGGAATGCTGTACTCTCCCCATTTAAGGACATTTTCCAGAAATTGCTCATAAGTCCACTTAGATCTCATTGATAAGCATGATAACTAGCAAAGATGGGGGATAACTAGCAAAGAGGACTAGATAGCAATGTTACCAGCTAAAAGTCAGGGTCCTCATTACCACAGAAGAAGAAGAGAATAAATACTGAGAGGTAGCAGCAGCCTCTTTCAAAAGTTCCTATTGTGACCAGGTGACGTTCTGGGTACAAGGAAACAAAGATCAGAAACACATAGGGTCTATGCTTGAGGCATTAGTCTAATAGGAAAAGCAATATGTAAATGAATAATTACTCAAAATTTCAAGCCAGGCAACAGCCACTGTTAGAAGACCTTGGCTTTTCTGAGTTCCTAAAGACTCCTTGCATCCAAAGAGTTCAAAAAGGAAGTGGATAGTTCTAGTGCTTTACATCACTAAACCATACAGACTGCTTCAATACTCCACAGCTTTAACAATGGACGTTTCCCAGCTCTATTCTACCGGACTTGATACGAAAGCAAAGTTCATCTAAACCTCTATAAACATATGTAAACTGTGGTAGTAATTTTAACAATTTGAAAATCCCCATTTCAGAAATGTGTCAACACTCAATAATTTTTTTTAAATTGTCAGAAATGAAACTAAATGGCTGTTTTAAGAAGACTATATATAAACTACAAGGCCAAATGAAAAGAAATAAGCAGTGATAGCACATCAAAAAGAAAAAAAGAAGTAATTCCGTAACTTACTGTTAACCACTGGTTATCCAGTAGTTCCTTAGCTGTGATTCTGTGAGCAGGATCTACTTTCATAAGTTGTTTCAAAACACTTTTAGCTGCAAATAAGGGGAAAACACCGAACATCTTACTTATCTTAGCTACAATTAATACCGTACATTTTCCAATTTATTTAGGATTAGGTCTGTATGATATGAAGGGAAGATGTCAGTTATAAAATAAACATCATCAGTGGGAATTTGGGATTAACAGATACACACTACTGTATACAAAACAGATAAACAACAAGGACCTACTGTATAGCACAGGGAACCATATTCAATATCCTGTAATAACCTATAATGGAAAAAAATCTGAAAAAGAATATATATATAACTGATTCACTTTGCTGTATACCTGAAACACTAAATCAACTATATTTCAATTACAAATATTTTCAGTATAAATGGCCAATATTAAATAAAGTTTAAGGCCTTAAGTGAGGTTTTATTGTTTGTATTACCTGGTTTATGGTCTCTAGTGAAAAAAAAATTAGCTAGATAATCAGCAAATTTCCTCTTCAATTTTTATGATGTATTTTCTGTTTTTGTTGAAAGCTTTGTAACAATCACAGTGGAGATATCACTATTTCCACAAGTATATAGTGTTTATTCCTACAAGTAAATTTAATGATTAAACAGAGGTTTTAAGTATGAGAATTACTGGTCAGGTTTCTTACATTATGTATATTTGCTTTAGTAAATAATACTTACCAGAATCACTTATGGAATCCCAGACTGACTTTTTAAAATTTAATTCTCCCTTTCTTATTAATTCAAAAAGCTTCTCTTCTGAGCTTGCCATAAAGGGTGGTTCTCCACATAATCTACATCAAAGACAATCAATTTGTTTAGATTTTTAAATTAATCAAAATAAGGTTATTAAAACCTAAGTTTCCACGGAGATTGGAAGTAGTGGTTCTTCATATTTAAGTAAAGGAGAGTGAAAGGTAGGAACTTCTCTGGACATAGAAATGGAAGGAAAGGAGTTTTGCAAGATCAATGTTAGGCTCCTGTATACATTGAAACTTCCAGATCTGTAAATGACCCAAAGTTCTTCCAGGTGGGGAAACACTAAGCTTAAATGGGGTTAAATTACAGAAAAGTGTGTGAGTTAAAGTGCACAGGAGCAGTGGATAATAGAGGAGAAACACTTCTCTGCGGGCACTGTTTAATGAATACCTTAAAGTACGTAACTCAAACTGGGTAATTAGATTGATTGATTGATTGATTTATTTTAATGGAGGTACTGGGGATTGAACCCAGGACTTCGTGCATACTAAGCATACGCTCTACCACTGAGCTATACCCTCTCCACTAGAATCTTTTGAAAGGAAGTACTGTACTATAGTTTACAAGCATGGCAAGCCAACACTTCAAGAGGTGATCCAGTCCAAAACTATAAGAACATGTTTAAAAGCTGCAAATGCTAGCCATCATCTTTATGGGAGGGCAACCTTGAAGACGACAATCAGATTTTCCCAATGACGACCAGATGGAAAATGGACTTGGGCTCATCACAGAGGCAGCTCTGTATGTCTAGTCTTTAACTCTCAGGATTGTATTTTCCCACTTTATTACTGAAAGAATAAAATGGCATATATCCACTACACTTCCCAAATGCTGGTCTATTGTGTGCATAAGTATAATGATCTCTAAATCTCTTAACAGATTTTTGCTGATTTTTTAAGTTACATTTTTCTTTAAGTTCTTTAAAAATCTTTCCCATGAATATTTTTGGAACAAGTCTAGATTTGGTAAATATTTTACATGATAATGATTATGATGATAATGATTTTCCTAGGGGAGGGGAGGAAGCTGTTTCATCCTCATAGTTTATCAAACTAGGCTGGATAGTAGAACTTTTCATTTACCAATAGGTTCTTATTAAGAGATAGGTATTTAACAAATTGTTCTGAGAACTCTCATTTTAATGCTTTCTATTTCTCCAGTTCATTCTGACCCTTCTCTCTCTCATATTACTTGTCTCTCTATTGTTTAGTTTAAAAATGCAGTTTTTAAACAAAAGCCAGAAAAATGATCTCATGGACAATTACTATCTATTGTCACAAGTACAGGCTGGCAAAAGCTCAGCTCATTGAGTCTGTTAACAACCAGTGATATGCACATTCACCAGTTTCTTAGCGGCTCCTGCACTGCCTGACTAGCATGCAACCATAGCTTAAGGGCTACGTTTAAAAAATTCCACTTTTTTCTGTCCTTTGCAATTTTACTTACACCAAATGTATCTAATGGTTGGTCAATCAGCAACATATGAAATTTTATTATGGCAATTTTCTGCACATCCAGAAAAGGGAATCCAAGACATGAAAAATGCCTCTTAAAGCCTTCCTATTATTTTCTGTTTCACAGGAATCAAAACAGAAAAGATTGTGCCCGTAAAGAGTATTTATGTTAATTTCACCTTGAGAAACTGTGTTATCATTGTCCAATTAAGTAGCAACGAGTCAGGGGTAACTAATAAATAAGAAAATAACCTCCCTGGAAAAAGGAATATGTTCATGCCCTTGGTGAAAGAAATTATCTATAAGACCACTGGGCTCAGGCAGATTAATGAATAGGTACTGATTAGCTAAGTAAGAGTCTACTGTAAAGAAAAAAAAGATGTCATTATTATGATATGCAGTCATGCTCACAAGCAGAAAAATTAAAATTACATCTTTAAGTAGGAGAAAAAAGTTTTAAGATATGTAATATATTATCACTTTCCTTAACTCCGAAATTCAAACTGAGGCCAGCAAACATTACGTGAATGATGTAATAATAGATTACATTTATTACATTTGACTTGGGTTGTCTAGAAAGTCTCGAGAGTATAAAACATTAACTTTAAATAGTTACGTATATATAAATATTTTTTTCCCTTAACAAAGATACTGGGGAGTGAACCCAGAATCTCATGCATGCCAAGCATGTGCTCTGCTGAGCTCTATCCACCACCCCCAATAGTTATATTCTTAATTAAAAACTAAGGCTCAGAATTTTTATGATATGATTCTGATTAGCACAAAACAGTAATCAAGAACTTTGTGTATACATTTATACTTTATGCAATCTAAGCAGTGATGTGTGTTGATCATCTGAGTGATAGCTACAACCACATCATCCAGTTTCTACTGCCTGTGTATTCCAGTTCACAGAACTGTGAAAAAGTACCTACTGTGATGGTATTTAGAAACGATCTGGAAGAGGCAGCGCACAGTGAACTCTTCAAAATGACCATAAAACTGATGTCGCATCAACCTAAGAATTTTCCTATTCACCGGAGGCAGAACAATGACCACTAACTTTTCAAAACACCTCCTAAACAAGTCACTTTAATTCAATTTAACAAACATGTATGGAGCACTGACTACACACCTACTATGGTACCAGATACCAGGGCTGTAAAGATGAATAATATAAGATCGCTGTCTTTCATGGAGTTTAGGGCAAGAAAAGCAGTCACAATACACATAATATAATAATTACATTACATTACATTATAATCTTGTTTCTAAAAGTGCTATGAGAACACAGAAAAGTGAACAATTAATTCTAACAAGTTTACACATGTGCAAACTTTCCTGACTAAATATGTTTATTATTTTGCTTTTCTTTCAACATTACTGTTTTACATGCATCTTTGTACGTTGCCTTAAATCCTCTGTGGAGTGTGGGAAAGTATACACATAACGAATGTACTTATTCTGCCGGGGCAGAGTAGGAGTTAGGGAAATAGAAGTCGTCAATGTATGAGCCAGATACACTCAGGAAAGGGGTTAGTAGAGAAGAAAAAATAATATCTGGGCAGCAGAAACTGCATGAGCAAAGACCCAGAAGCCCACAGTGCGGTGTCTATGTCATAAAGAGTGGCCTAGCTTGGCCACCAGCACAGAGTAGGTACGTGGGACCACACACACAGACCAAGATTGGAGACGCTTGATGGAGCCAGGCCAGGAAAGAAGTGCGCCAAGCATGTGGGGATGCCTTGACATTTTTCTACAGTGAGGGAGAATTATCAGAGGTTGTTCATCAGGAAAGCAGTACAATCAGATCTGTGATTTAGAAAGACAACCCTGACAATTGTGTGGAGGATGAACCAGAGGCAGGAGAAGAGGCAGAAAGACACTGCAATATTCTAGAAAAGGGATCATAAGGAGAAATGATACAAGTGAAGAGAAATGAAATAATAGGTGAGGATATTTCAAAGGAAAAACACAGGACCTGTGGTTAGACTGAATCTTCAGAGTAAGATAGAAGGGAGAGCAGAAAAGGCTAACGTTTTCAGTAGCATTAAGGGGATTAGGAACTACAGAACACTCCCTGGATCCTGGGCTGAGCCTCTGTCTAGTCACACATGCCCTGCCTATCAGTGGCTCTGGTGCCAGGTCCCAGTACCTCCCTCTACCTGATGCTGTACCAGTGAGTCTCTTGAGAAAATACAAAGAAGTTTTCCATTTGTAGCAAATATCAGGGAGATGCTGAGGCAAGTTTTTCACTTTGCTCAGATCACACAGTGCATCACAGCATTTACAGATCAGTGAAATGCAAAACTGAAAGTTATAAATTTATTGTATTTAAAAATACCTAATGGATGTACCTAACAACTAATAAGACAGGTTCTACAATGACTTTCCAATTGTTTCTTCAGTCACTTTCTTAAACAATACTGTTTAGTCTTAATTTAAAATCTGTGTAATGCTACTGTTAGGGACCACCATTCATTTTAACTGTACATTAGCAGGCTACTTACAAAATGTACATTATGACACCTATGCTCCAAATGTCACACTGCTGGCTATAGTCGTGGGCATTGATAACTTCAGGGGCTGCCAAACAAGCAGAAATAAAATAATATTAATAATACAATAAATGACTTTTAAATGCTTAAACACAAAGCATGAAAAATGTGCTGATGTGTTGCAATTTATTCCCCGACAGGGAAAAAGAGAACCACCAGCAGCTGTTGCATGAATAATACACGGGCCTTAACGACTGACGTCGCCACATCCTCACTCCTGTCATTTGGCTTCTCGTGAACGACGGCACGAACTGTAGGGCTAAATGTACAACTCTCCATCCCTTTCAAGTTGTTAAGAAATGATTTTTGCAAAGATCGTGTCGTTACAGAAGAAGACAACAATATCTCAGTTCTTTTCCAAAAATAGAATTGAAAACATGTCTCAAGCAGATACAATTTAAAGCAAGCCCAATGTGTGGAAATCTGGATTTACAGAGAAACTAAGATGGTTATAAATCACTTTAGTAAAGTAACAATAATAATAACAACATCATAGCACTCCTATGACAGAACATGAATTATTTTCCACCTTTTCAAAATGAGAAAAGTAAGACAAAGAGCGAGTTCCTACAGCATAACTCGATCAAACAGCCAATTAGTCACAGGATGAGGACGAGGATGCAGGCACTCCTGACTCCCCCGTTCCGTGCTTCTTCCTTGCAATGTGTCCACAACAGGCGTCCTTTAAACGATCTTCTCGAAAGAGAACATTTTTTTACTTTGAGGTAGCACATTTTTTAATGATTAGATTTTTAGAATGGCTGGCTTTTTAAAAAGTCACATATGCTATCTCAGGGAATGTCTGTTATGCCCTGTAGACAGCTCGGGATCTCAGGGAGGGCCAACTCTAGGTTACCGAGGATTAACCCCAGCGTCATTCAAGGGTCACCTGTATATATTTGAATAGAACTTAAAATTCACGAAGTACTTCTGGATAAATGATGTTATTTGTATAAGTTATGGTAAGAGTCATGTGAGATGGGTATGTAAGCATTTGACTCACTTTGCCAGTAAGGAAACTAAGGTTCTGCTATACATATTAAGTGACTTATCTCAAGTGACATAGTTACAGAGCGCCTCCCAGGTAGAAGGTGTTTTTACTTTAGGAAGCAGTTTCAATCTCCCTCCAAACACACATCTTTTATAACTATCAAAAGCAAATGAAATTTCATTTCCTCTTCCTACTGTTAAAGGAACTTAAAAGCCACAAAAAGGAGTCAAAAAGTAAACAGGAGAAAGAATGAGAAAAGACTCAACTATAGATAGTTAAACTGAGAAATTTGTCTCCAAATCATTGAAAATTAACTAATTATTATTTTCCTTTAAGTAACTACTTGTATTCTTTAACTCTACTTAAATTTTTAAAATACTGGGCAATTGAAGTTCAAGTTGCTCTATGGCCGCATGCTTCTGACAATGGCAGATCTCCACATCGAGGCATCACACAGCAGGGGCCCAGGATTAGCAGCCTGCACTCTTTCAGAGTTCTTCGTGATCAGGGGCATTTCTCTTGCACTGTCATCACAGCTCTCACAGGGAGGCAGAGGCCAGAACGACTGTGCCAAGGAGCCATTCAGGAAGTCAGCAAAGCTCCAGAAACCATCTGTCTTCCCTCTTGTTCTCTCACTTGTTATCAGTGTAGACAACTAATAAGCAGGCATAAAACTCAGGGTGCTTGGATATATTTTCCCCGTGTAACTACAGACCAGCTGTCTTTTGCCAACAGGAGGATATGAACAGAATCTCAAGTAGCCTCTTCCCAAATAAGATAAAACAATTTAGAAACTTTATGTATCAAGTAGGCAAAAAAACAAATGAACTAGGTATACTCCCCAGCAATAAAAATGAATGAACTACTGATATAACAACATGGGTAAGTCTCAAAATCATCATATGGAACAGAAGAAGATGGACACAAAAGAATATATATTATGCTTCTATTTATATCAAGTTCTAGACAAGCAAAACTCAGCTAAGGTAATGGGAATCATCAGTCGTTGCGGGGTCTGGATGGGGGAGTGACTGAGAGGGACACAAAGGAAATTTCTGGGGTAATGGAAATGTTCTATATCTTCACTGGAGTGATGATTATATAAGTAAATCCATTTGTCAAAACCCGTTAAACTTTACACTTAAAATCTGTGCATTTTACTCTATGTAAATTATATTTCAATACACTAGATATTTTCAAGAAATCTACTAAAAGTACGTAAAGAATCTATCAAAGTCCTATCTTGGTGGGTGACTTTAATAACTCTCTTAGAAATCAACAGAAAAAGTAAGCAAAATTAAACTGATAATATGGACTGGGTGACTCAGATGGTGGAGCACGAAGATCCTGAATTCATCACCTCTGTGGACACACCAAAATTACAACTATTTACTGAGCACCTATCTGTGAGAATGACCTAAAGACTAGCAGAAAAGAATTTCCACAACTAAAGACATAAAGTGATAATCACAACCAGATGCGTAGGAGAGGTGGAGATGTATAGTTAGGACCTATGCACCCAGGTCAGCGACCCCAAAGAGGAGGAATGCCACAATTTTAGAGGTCTTCCTCAGGGAGTGAGGAGGTCTTTCCCTACTTTGGGTTCCCCAGCCTGGGGGTCCTGCACCGGGAAGATGAGCCCACAGAACTCCTGGCTTTGAAAACCAGTAGGACTTATGCTCAGGAGAGCTGGAGGGCTACAGGAAACAAGAGACTCTGCTTCTTAAGGGTGCACACAAAATCCCATCCACTCTGAATCAGCTCAGAGGCAGTAGTTTGAAAGGAGTCTGGGTCAGACCAACTTGCTGATCTTAAAGAACATCCTGGAGAGGCAGGAAGCAGTTGGGACTCTCCCTGGGGACCAGCAGTAGCCATGTGGGGGAGTTCGTTCTGCCATATGGACTGGGACTGGCAAGCACCATCCTGGATTCCTCCCTCTAGCTTATTAGTGCAGGTTCCTGGCCCTAACCACTAACAGGCTCCCCAAGGCCCTAGGAACAATTGCAGAAACCTGGTCCGACCACCAGCAGACTGGCATCAACACCAAACACTCCCCACCCCCCGTCATGCAGACCACCATGCGGGAACCCAGCCTTGCCCAGCAGCAGGCCAGCAGCAGCCCCACACTTACCCAGGCCATGCAGTTAACCCCGCAAGAAGCCTAATCCACCTTCTAGCAGGCCCAGAGCCACTGTACATGGCACGGACTCATAGCCAATCGGCCTGGGGCTAGTCCCACCTACCAGTGAGCCCACGGTAGTCAGCCCCACAACAACAGAAAGGTGTAGGCCACTTAGGAGGCACCCCTAGAGCACAGAGCTTCAGTGACCAGCGGGGAGCAGCTGCTGGGCCCCACATCTCCTATAGAAGGCCACTTCTCCAAGGTCAGAAAATGTGCCAACATACCCAATACATTAAAAAAAGACAAAGAGAATTGGGCAAAAGAAAAAGAAAAAACTGCAAAAAGCATAAACACGTGAAGTCTAAATAGCATACTACTAAACAACCAATGGATCAGTGAAGAAGTCAAAGAGGAAATAAAAAATACCTAAAAGAGAAAGAAAAATGGGAACACAATGATCCAAAATCTGTGGGACACAGAAAGCAGTTCCCAGAGGGAAGTTTATAGTGATAAGTCTTACTTCAGGAAAGAAGAAAAATCTGAAACAAACAACCTAATCTTACACCCAAAGGAACTAGGAAGAGAAGAGCAAACAAAAGCCAAAGTTAGTAGAAGAAAAGAAATAATAAAGAGCAGATTGGAAATAAATGAAATAGAGACTATAAAGAAATATAAAAAAGATCAATGAAACTAAGAGCTAGTTCTTTGAAAAGATTTGAAAAATTAAAAACTTTTAGCAAGACTCATCAAGAAAAAAGATACAAATAAATAAAATCAGAATGAAAGAGAAGTTACAACCAACACTACAGAAATACAAATGAACATAAGAACATATGAACAATTATACAGCAATAAAATGGACAACTTAGAAGGAATGGATAATTTCCTAGAAATGTACAACCTCCCAAGACTGAATCAGGAAAAAATAGAAAATATGAACAGATCAATTACCAGTAATGAAATTAAATCAATTTAAAAACTCCCAACAAACAAAAATCCAGGACCAGACAGCTTCACAGGTGAATTCTACAAAACATTTAAAGAAGAGTTAACATCTATCTTAATGAAACTATTCCAAAAAGTTGAAGAAGAAGGAAACTTCCAAACTCATTTTATAAGGCTGGCATCACCCTGATACCAAAATCAAACAGAGACACCACAAAAAAAGAAAATTAAAGGACAGTATCATTGATGAACCCAGATGCAAAAAACCTCAACAAAATATTAGCAAACTGAATTCAACAATACACTTAAAGAATCATACAACACAACTGAGTGGGATTTAGCCCAGAAACTCAAGGATGGTTCAATACCTTGAAATTAATCAATGTGCTACACCACATTAACGAATTGAAGGATAAAAATCATATGATTATCTCAATAGATGCAGAAAAAGCTTTTGGAAAAATTCAATATCTGTTTATGATAAATAAAAAACCTCTTCAGAAAGCAGATATAGCAAGAACATACCTCAACATAATAAAGGCCATAATGACAAACCTACAGCCAACATCATACCTGGTGAAAAGCTGAAAGCATAACTTCTAAGAGCAGGAACAAGACAAGGATGCCTACTCTCACCACTTTTATTCAGTATAGTATTGGAAGTGCTAGCCACAGTAATCAGAAAAGAAAAAGAAATAAAAAAAATTCAAATTGGAAATGAAGAAATAAACTATCACTGTTTACAAATGACATGATACTATACTCAGAAAATCCTAAAGATGCCACCAAAGAACTATTGGAATAAATGAATTCAGTAAAGTTGCAGGATATAGAATTAAAATACAGATAATCTATTGCATTTCTATACATTAACAACAAACTATCAGAAAAAGAAATTAAGAAAACAATCCCATTTACAACTGCATCAAAAAGAATAAATACCTAGGAATAAATCTAACCAAGGAGAAAA